TTTGCTGTTTCCTGGAAGCTGACTAGGATTCCATGGCCCAGGATGGCCTCGCTCTCATATATGACAGTGCAGCTGGTCCTCTGCTGGGCCACTCAGCTCTTCTGCAGGTGGCTTCTCATTCTCCATTAGGCTAGATAGGCTTCGTCATTGCATGGGGCCTCAGGGCAGCAAGTAGAAGCTGCAAGGCCCCATGAGGTCTAATTTAGGGAGTCACAGACTATGAGGTCTAATCTAGAGAGTCACAGATTATAAATTCCAATACAGTCTTTTTGTTGTTGTTAATCCTCACCCAAGGATATATTTTCCATTGATTTTTAGAGAGTGGGAAGGAGGGGGAGAGGCAGAGAGAGAAACGTCGATGTGAGAGAGACGCAGAGATACATCGATTGGTTGCCTCCCACACATGCCCTGGCCGGGGCCTGGGATCAAGCCTACAACATGACCTTGACTGGAATCAAACCCAAGACCCTTCAGTCCATAGGCTATGCTCTAACCACTGAGTCAAACAAGCTAGGCTAGGGCATTCTTTTCTTTTTTTAATCATTTTTTTATTTTTCAATTATAGTTGACATACGATATTAGTTTCAGGTGTACAACCCAGTGATTAGACATTATGTAACTTATTAAGTGATCATCCTGATAAATCTCGCACCCATCTAACATAATACATAGTTATTAGAATATTATTAACTATATTCCCTATGCTGTACTTTACATCCCCATGACTATTTTGTATCTTCCAACTTATACTTCTATATCCCTTCATCTTTTTCAACCATCACCCTAACCTCCCCTTCCATCTGGAAACCATCAAATAATTTGGTGGTGATGAATTCCTTTAGCTTTTTTTTTTAAGGTTCATAGATAGAGGCTTGTTTTATTTATTTATTATTTTTTTCATTTTTTTTTCTTTATTGATTAAGCTATTACATATGTGTCCTTATGGCCCCATTCCTCCCCATTCATTCCCTCACCCCCCCTATTGTCTGTGTCCATTAGTTAGGCTTATATGCATGCATACAAGTCTTTTGGTTGATCTCTCCCTCTTACACCCACCCTCTCCTACCTTCCCTCTGAGGTTTGGCGGTCTGATTGATCTTTCTCTGCCACTGGATCTCTTTTTGTTCATCAGTTTATGTTGTTCATTATAATCCACAAGTGAGTGAGATCATGTGATATTTATCTTTCTCTGACTGACTTATTTCACTTAGCATAATGCTCTCCAGTTCCATCCATGCTGTTGCAAATGGTAAGAATTCCTTCTTTTTACTGCAGCATAGTATTCCGTTGTGTAGATGTACTACAGTTTTTTAATCCACTCATCTGCTGATGGACACTTAGGCTGTTTCCAAATCTTAGCTATGGTTAAGTGCACTGATATGAACATACAGGTGCATATATCCTTTCTGATTGGGAATCACCAGAAATGGGTGAACAGTGTGATCCAGGTTGATGGAGACTCAGATGTGGTGCCTGCCTGCCAGCTCTGTGGGAATGGGCTCAGAAAAGGAACAATGGCCTCTGCCAGCACTTTTGTCTGGAGAAAGCTGCCCCTCCAGGTCTCACTCTGATGGCAGACACTTCATTCCCTTCCCGTATGTCCCTGGTGCCTTTCAAGTTGCTGTTCAAGTGCTGGAACTCACAGGAAGTGAGTCTGAGTATGTCTGTGTATGAGCCCTTTAAAAGGAACTGTCTGGGACTCCAGAGACCTCCTGCTCACTCAACCATAATCCCCACTGATTTTTACAGCAATTAGTTATGGGGACTTATCTTCCCAACATGGGGATCCTGAGCTTGGGGCCTGGTGTAGGGTTGGGACTCCTGTCTCCTTAGGAGGAATTTACGAAGCAGAGATTTACCTCCAAATTTTTTTAAAAATATATTTTATTGCCGAAACCGGTTTGGCTCAGTGGATAGAGCGTCGGCCTGAGGACTGAAAGGTCCCAGGTTCGATTCCGGTCAAGGGCATGTACCTTGGTTGCAGGCGCATCCCCGGTGGGGAGTGTGCAGGAGGCAGCTGGTCGATGTTTCTCTCTCATCGATGTTTCTAACTCTCTATCTCTCTCCCTTCCTCTCTGTAAAAACTCAATAAAATATATTTAAAAAAAAATAAAATATATATATATTATTGATTTTTTTACAGAGAGGAAGGGAGAAGGACATGGGTGTGGGACCAGCCCATTCTGTCCCTCCTACCAGTCTCTACTTGGCTTCTTCTTTATATCTTTAATTACAGGAGTTCTGTTTAGCTAGTTTTCAGGCAGTTTTTAATTATGGTTTTTCTGTAATTTAGTTGTACTTTTTATGTTAACTACTTTTTCATTTAACACAATTTCAATGTGGAAGTGTGATTGACAGTCCAAATGGAATTTTTGAGACTTAGGTATTTGATGTGTATTTCTCCAAAATAAACAAAATTACCTTGTAATGTCAAAGAAAGTAACTATTTTGTATTTCTAGTTGTTGCCAGCTATAAAATTTGAACTTTCTAGTGAAAATTAAAATTTTGAAAATCTTTTGTATGCTCCCATAAGGTTGACAACTTCCCAATACTAAAAAAAAAAATAAAAAAAAATAAAAAAATCTGATGAGACTTGTGCTATTAAATGTTTTTTTTTTTTTTTGGTATTGTGTAATTAAATCTGTCAATAATATGAATATGTGCATATTTGCTCAATTGGACCAGCACTGAGATTGTTATTCACATTTCAGTTCTGTGGCTCACTGGATGTCTACAATTAGCCTCACGTTCATTTCTCCATCAATAAAATGAATCTAGTAGAATTCCTTTTCAGAAAGTCTATGAATATTAAGTGAAATGATATATAAAAATTAACACATTGTAGGACATCAATAAATGTTATCACTCTTTTAATTAATATAAATAATTGTGATAACATACCTGTTTCATGGGATATATTGGAGAGTAGATAATAAATTAAATGGAAAGTATCTCAAAGATAAAGAATATTAGATTCTTCATTTTCCTTCTTCCCATTCTCCAGCATCTCACCTTCAATCTGAAAATAAAATATACATTCTATAACAGAGTGCTTGAGGGAAACAGAAACTATATCTGTTGTTTTCATAAAGAAAATGTAATATAAAGGACAGGTTAAACAGGTGTTAGAGAACTGGAATGGAGAAGGGGGACTTTGAGGGTATATAGAGAGAGTGGGCACCAGGAAACAGGCCCACCCTTAGTGCTTGGGGACCAAAGGAAGAATCAGGGTTACCAGGAACTTGGAAAAGGACCCTGTAGAGCTGAGGTCCACACTTAGTGGGGTGCTGTGCAGCCAGTGCTGGTAACTCAGGAGCGCAGTGGAGAGGCCTTAGGGAGCTCAAACTCAAGAACTCTCGGGAAGGGATGCAAACAGCCTGTTGCTGGCAACTCTGAGAGGGCAGAATGAGCCGGTTCTGGGAGGACTTGGAAAATCTGTAGACAGACTAATTTCTGCTGCCAGGATAAAGGATGATTGTGGAAACAACACTGCCAGCAAATACATGTGAGCGAATAAGCTCCACCCTCCTTGCATCCTGCCTCCCCCAAACCAGCCTCTGGGTGGTGCCCCCATTGCAGAACCTAACAGGAAGTCAGCTGGCAAAGAGAAATGCCTGCAGCAACCCAGCCCTGCAATCTCAGTGCAGAATATAGAAGCTGGGTTTGGGGCTATGAACCAATAGCTTAAACACTGACAAAATTCTTAGCTAACTCCTATTGAGAGGCAAATTAGAATGGACTTCTTTGTTCAAGGAATGTACCTGAAGTAAATTAGCAAGAGGACTTGAGATGTGAGTATTATTGGATGGACCATGTGGACTCATTTTCATATCTAGTTTTTTGGGGAGACTCACTTGTGACATCCAGCACAATTGTAATAACTATTTTTGTAGAAATAGAAATCCAGAAAGCCACCAGGAGAATAAAATAATGAAATTTGTTCTTGAGTGACTAATTTAAAATGGATCCCTATAATATGCCTCCTTAAGCTTGAGATGTTTCACACAATCAGGTTTCAGTATTTTCATTAGTGTGATTCACACAACCAACATTCTATCTATCTATCTATCTATCTATCTATCTATCTATCTATCTATCTATCTATCATCTATCTATCTATCTATCTATCTATCATCATCATCTATCTATTTTAAAGGCTTACGTTGTAAAGAAACCAACATAGCTATTAAAAGAAGAGACTTGGGCTGGTGAAAAAATGTGATTTCATTGTATTTTATGTGATTTCAGTGTAATTTATTTAAATAATTTTGACTTTAAAGTGTGTGTGTGTGTGTGTGTGAGAGAGAGAGAGAGAGAGAGAGAGAGAGAGAGAGAGAGAGAGAGAGAGAGAGAGGTCTAAATATCACTACACTTTTGGAACAGAGCATAATACCTGGTAAATTTATGAATGAGGTTTCCATTTGCTAAATTGTCAAGGCTACTATATTATATGTTTTTCATAATAAAGTTATTAAAGGCAATAAATAAATATGTTTCAATATCATTCCATGGCTTTATTTTATGCATTAATCTTTTAAAATGACATCCACAACATCTTAAAAAGAGACAAGTTATAACATTCAAATTATTTTTCTTTCTCAGACATGCTTGCTGTAACTTGATTGCTCTTGTGCTTTTTTTCTTTATCTAAAGGCTTTAAATCATTGATTACCTGAAAGTATTCAGTTTGATGTGGAAGTTGTTTTATACCCTACTTATTGCTTTCTAATATCTATTTAAGAATACCAATTGGTTTACAAAAGCAAATATAATGAAATTAATAATCTGAAAATGCTAGCAATAGTGCCATCAAGGATGGATGGCATACATTGGATGGGGTTGTGAATCTGCCGCCTGGAAATACATTTGGGATTATTTTTTCAGAATCAGATCAAAAGCAGCCAGATGGAAAATGACATAAGGACCTTGAGATAAGCACTATTGGAAGAAGCTAAGTTTTCTCCCATGTTCACAAGCACTTTTGTTCTATTTCATTTAGGGAATCCTTTGGAGATGCTCTCAAGATGTAGAACCCTTATATGTGAAGTAATCCACATGAAGTTGCAGCATCCACATTGAAGTCACTTCATGTTACGGTAGGATGAAATTCTTCTTAATATGTTTGCCTGTGGAAAATGTGATGAGAAGTGTGTGTGTAAATAAAATTATGAAGGTTTACAACCCAATACATAAGTTTGAGATTCAAAGACAACTTTTTTCATGGTTTTGCAATGATTATGTTATGGATCCGTAAGAGGGCTGGGTACAATAGGGAACTCAAATGTGTTACTATTAATGTCCTATGATAGTATTTACATTATATTAGTCAATAGGTCAACACACAGCTGGAGGAGGTAAGTACTGTCTTCGCAGTACCATTGTTTAAAACAGAGTTCAGAGAAATTAAAACCTTATCCAGGGTCTCAAAGCTAATAAGTGGAACAAGAGCAATTTAACTCTAAGCTCTACTATTTCTGCTGTCATGTGACAGGTGAGGAGCCGAAGAATTAACATAGGCCGAGGGCAAGACCCTTAAGTTTAAACTGGCATTTAGAAAAGGGTCATAATTGCCTTCCCTCACACAGAAAATCAAAGTGAAGAAATTGTCTTTATACTTTCACTGCTTTTGAAAAGAGTTCTGTAAGCCTTGACTAGTTAAGAGATAACAGTGTTTCAAAGAAATTGAAAGTTATAGAAAAGCTAACAAGAAATCTGCGCTGTAATTTCCCCATTCACCTTTGCTATGAAATGAAAATCTGTAGTAGTCTTCCTAATGCAATACCCTGCCCTGGCTGATGATATACTTTATTGAAAATAGTGCTAATCCTTCCTTCACAGCTAACTGGTACACAACTCAAGAAATTTGACTTTCGTTTCCCTTTTCTGTTACTTGTACCATGAGGTTGCTGCAAGATTCCACTGAAATAAGAGATAATAGATGGAAAGCACATAAAATTCTTTCTGGCACCTAGTACATGTTCAATAAATAGAAGCCGTATCAAAGACCTTATGAAGTAACAGGTATTAAAATATAAGCCATTATTTGGCTATAGGTATATCCATGAAAATGCGTAATTAAATAAACGCTTATGTGAAATACGATATCATGTAGAATACATTTGTTTGGGGGAATTGCTGATCGCTGATTGAAAACTTCAGATATTTCAATACATTTTAGGGGATTGGTTTACAGTTGGCAGACCATAGGCTCTTTTATCCTAGAGACTTGGCAATACCACTGGATATTGTGGATCTAGCTGTCATGCCTGAAAATTCTCTCTAACACATATTCCCTAGTGATTGCACACCAGAGACCCACTCTGTCCCCTTGAGTCAGATTCGCTTGGGTTATTCGACAGTGACATCTTGGGAGCCTGTGAAGCGTTCTCTCATGGCTTTCGTGCTACAGAGTCTTGCTTCTGTGTTGGCAATAATCAGCAATATTTCTGTGAAAGCAGGTTCCGTGCCTGCAGTTGAAGATTACATTTTAACTTTCTATGTTGTGTAAAGGGGGAAAAAAGCTAACTTTCATTGTGAATTTCTGAGAAGAAGCCTTCAGTCACCTTCAGTTCCAATGTGAGGTTCATTTCTTTCTTATTTTTAATGGTGGAGTAAATGCGTGTAAGATTAATGAATGCGATGAAGATATTAGGCTGGAATCGCCAACATAAATAGACAACGGTTCCCCCCACAGCACTTTGGGACGGGAATCTAGGCCCTTCTTTATTTCAGCTATTTTGAATTAGTTCACATTCTTAAAACAACTGCAAACTTGTCTATGTCCCTCCTATACTGCATTACTTTTTAATTCAAGAGTTTTGTGCAGAAGATATTAACAACTCTAAATTTCCACTTTACATCCAGTTTTGGGTTGAGTTAAAAAGTTATGTTGTTTCTTGACAATAAAATTCTAGTCACTTAGGGCCTCATTTCTCTTTGCTGTTTCTCTGTAATAACCCTGTATTTGCTTCATGCCTTACTAACGCTAAGATAGTGAATTACTTCTTTTAAATCTCAGTAATCTCATCATAAGATGAGGATTATAAACAGTTACATTGCAGACATTTAAGGATTACAGAAAATATGTGTAAATCACCTACTTCTTAGACTATCACTAATGATCTTATATTGTAGCTCTATATCTAGATCTGCGAGTAGGTTTGATAATATGTGAATCCCCAAAGCTCCTTGGAATCTTTCAGAATAAGGACAAAATTGTTTCAAAAGTTTGGATGTCTTATGAAGGGGTGTTGTTATGGGAAGCCTCAACTTGGACATAAGTGCCTAAACCAGGAAAATACACTTTTTATTTTCTAATGATCAGGCCAAGGTAACTAGGTTTGTTTATATGGCAATGTGCCTTTATCATGAGCTTTTTCATATTTGTATCTCTAGGCCAAATATTTCCGAAGCTTAAAGGGTTTACAAACCTGGAAAGTTTATAAAATACATAGAGTACAAGATGTTTTCCTCAGGATCTTGCTCAGGACAGGTTGGGCTTGGGTCCTAAGTGTCCACATGTTATATGTAATTATTTACAACAGAAACAATTCTGGTATACACCACTAACTGGGGCTTAATATTATTTTCCTTGAAGCTTTAAGTTTTACACAATCTATTCCTGGAGGTTTATTATTATAGATCAAATTGAACCACTTCAGTATCTGTTAAGATAAATAATTAAAAAAAACCCAGATATGCTTCAATAATTTGGCAACAGAGTGGCTTTGCAAAGATTTTTTTTTATCCCTTGAACATATAAGAAGTTAATAGAACAAATAAGTAGAAATAAATACCATCCTAGCTAATAACAGGAGTTCTGGTTTGGTTAATGCTTATTGAATACCTAATAATTGGTTTATTTCATGTGCATTAATTTAGCAAATATTCATTCTAGTTCTTTTTAGTAGTTTGTATCCCCATTCTACAGATTAATGAAAGTATCTTTATAGAAGTCTGTTGAGTAAGACTCCCTCCACGGTCTGCGTGGAGTAGGGTTCGGTATCTGAAAGAGGAGCCGCACAACAAATGAGAGAAAAAGACACGAGATAATTTTGCAATATTGGGGGACCAGGCGGCCAAGTCCCGAAGGACTTCTTCCGTGCTCAGGCCTCACCAAGCTTTTATTGATCTGGGATGCACCCATAGCATAGCCCTTAGGCAGGTGACCCCCTAGTAACAAGTAGACTAGCCCATCAGCAAGGATTTACATAATAATAAATGGGGGAGTAGTTTCAGCTACCACTGTCTGGACAAACAGAGGTGGTGCCTAGCTCTGAGCTTTGCTAGGGCTTCAAAGGCACCCAGCCTTCGGGGGGTTTCGGGGAGTTCTCTGTCTATGCTTATCAGATAGTGAAGGCAATAAACAGTTTCACACAGAAGTCAGGGGTTCAACAAGTTATAAAGTTATGGAATGACAGGGAGAGGACTTAATCTTGGCACCAAGTTGGTATGCCACTGGTACAGCTGCTACCTAATCCTAGGATAACTCAATTTCCCAGCCATGAAAGGTTTTATTTTATGGCAGCCAATAGCATAAGCACATATGGGGACAATCAGCCTGCATTTGTTTTGTTTAAGCTCTTAAACACTTAATTTACCATCACCTTTGAAGTTAGATTTTGAAAGGCATCAGTAGCTTATGGCTATTTTATCTGCTTTGCAAGGCTATTCAGAAATTTTCTGAATAAATGTATCAAGTATCTTCTGCAAATTCTTGTTGTTTTTCGCCGATGTGCTTGTTGATTTTCATGAGTTCTGTTGTGTTTGAATATCCTCTCTCAGTTAAATAAACTATGGGAGTTTTCCCCCAGCTCAATACCTGGTAATATATATATATATATATATATATATATATACTATTAATAATTAATATTAATATTATTAATAACATTATTAATGATATTATATAATATTAATAATATTTTATATATATAATTTGTATCTAGGTTCAGCTATGTGTCCAAGTTCTACCCAATGAAGTCTGAGCTACAATAATTTGTGCCATTTCTAGGTCACATCCTTAAAGGTTCTATGAATATGCTTCTCCTCTTCTTCCTCTAGTAACTTGGAAAATAATTGTGGATGGGATGTCCCCGCGAGTCATCTTATATCTTACAGACAAGGACAGCTGTCTAAAGATAAAAGAACAACGTAGAAGCAGTCTGGCTTCTTGGCTTAATTTATAGAGCAAAACAGTCGCGATTGCTTCCTGCTGAATGTTATGTGAAAGATAAATCAGTTTGATTTGCTTAGCCATGGCAACTAAGCCATTTTACATGACAGAATATACACCCTAATGAATTAATGCATTCTTCCATAAATGCATTAGCCATGAATGCCCTGAATTCTGTGACCCTTTGAGAAGTCAATCTTAGCCTGGAAAGAAGCACAAGGCCCTTAAATAAAGGACACTACGACAGTTATCTGGCTGTTGTCTATCTAGGCTTTGAAGCATCTCACCTTGCTCATCTTACTTTTCATACTATTCTCCTGACCATCTTCTTTTGGCCCTGTTTTCCTTTTAGTGTGTCCTCTTTCAGAGTAGTACATAAATGTGTTACTTTTTACCTCTTCTTGCTACAGCATTTATCTTTCATGCATTCACAGTGTGAAGAAGGCAAATCTTAGATAACAGGAATAATGAACCCTGAGATGAACTTCAGTGTAGTGGTGCTGCTTAAAAACGTTCCAAGTAAACTTAAAAAAACACATCAGGTTATCCAAATAAAATTTTCCTACAGACTACATTAAGTAGACTTCTTAACTTCTGATACCTAGATAACAATGTCCAAATCCACACAACTTATGAGATTTTCTTCATTGTTTCTTCTCTTCACTCAATCCCTCACCTGGTCCTCATTTGCATCCAGGACAAAACTAAATTTTGTTTTCACATTAATTATGTACCTTTGAATCTTTAGTTTAGAGATTTTAAATATATAGTTAATCTGTAGCCAAAGAATGTCTTAATGCCTTATGGATGCAGTGTTCTCCTAGCTCCATAATCTACTCTTGAGTTATGCTGTAGCTGCAATTCCACTATAGAGCATGCTCCCTACCAAACTACTGGTTTGACTACTATATTGGCACTCTG